AATAAATTTTATATTTTTGTATATTATAATTATGTTTTATTCTAATATACAAAATATTTGGTTAAATGAGTAAACCTAATTTACTTTATGGTTAACACTAAATAACCAATTTATAATAAATATATTGCATTGAATTTAGTTTAAACAAACAAATGTTAACTTATTTGTATATTTATTTAATTACTTTGAAATTAAATGGAAATGATTTTGAAATCTAAAAATAAAAATCTAGAAGTTATTTCACTTATTTGTCGTATACTTTAATATAACATATGTTTCAATAAATAAGTATTTTATTTAAATATTTTATTATAAAAACAGTTTTGTGTATTGAATAGATGAAAAAGTACGGGTAAAACAATTACAAACATTTGAAGGTTTTATTTGCATTAAGAAACTTAAAATCAAAAATTGATTTCTCTATGTATTAAACTTCTATAGCAAACTCTTAATAAAAAAAATATTTTTTAATTTAAGATAATTTCTTATTAAAATTGATAGTAAATAAATTCTTTTCAAGGTTTTTTTTAAAGAAGGAAGTTATAAGTTTATAACTAAAATCTAAGTTATATACGATATAATAATATAATTTATATTTTAGTCGTTCAGTTTTATATCACTTATTAATTAAAAATGTTTTCTAAACCACGGTAGAGCAATTCACATTATAATAGGACAAATGCAAAAACACATTAACAGAAAATAAAATTAATAAATACAGTAGTATGCCTCAGGTTCAAATACACATAATTTACTATACTAGAATAATACTAGTTAATACTATACTAGTTAATATACTAGCAAATTGTTTAACTAACTAGAAATTTCCATGACTAACTCATGTTTTTGTTTACAATCACTTCAATATGTTTTCCAAATAAGTCACTAATAAATTAGATTGTTTTTACTTTAAAAGTAATTACATTTAATTTCAGGTTTTTCTTGATTTTTCTTTATATGATGTCATAAAAATAAAAACTAAGAGAAAGCGTCAATCAGTCTATGAAATTCAAAATCAAAATGTCTGAATGATAGTTATTTTTGCTTATTCTCACCAAATATAATGATTGCGAAAACTATTTTTACAATTGATATATTGAACACATGTTTCAATTAACTGCACTTGACTTCATTATAATCTAAATTTGATAACAAATGTCTGCTAAATATATAGCTTTTAGAGCACTCAACCCCTCAGAAACCGATTTTTTAATCAAACTTTAAACAAATTAAATAATTTTAAAAATTAATTTTTGATGAAATTTGTAATAAAAATGAAGCAACACTATTTTTTAAACAGATATGAATATGTTCATTCTTATTTTGGCACGTGTATTGACACTTAAAATTTTCCATAAAAATATTTGATTTGATTTTACTATTACACTGATTCAATAAATTACACTTTTTCTCACTTCTGATACAAAAGCAAACGTAAATTTCATAAACAATTTTCTGTGATATTGACAGATAAGTTAAAATTTTAATCAATGAATGTCTTCATTCATTCATTCAGTAATTAGCATTACTATAGTTGTTAACATTTATTGTTATAATGTAAATTTACAAAATTGCTAGTTTAATATCCAGTAGTCAAAGTTATAATTTTCTTAAAAATTCAGACATTTTCAAAATTCAAAGCTATTCTTATTTTAAATTTTGTAACATACTAACTGCTATATAAATAAATAATTAAATTAAAAGTTATATTGTTATATGACATTAGTTAAAGTGTACAAATTAATAAAGTAATGATTGTAAATGTAAAGTTCTATAAACATGAATATAAATGGAGTTCTGAATAACGGTTTATTCAATTTGATTCCGTTTATCAAATCCTGTCATTTTCACTACAAATGACAATTGATTGCTGTTTCTAAATTTCAAGTTTTTAAAAGTTAGTTTTGTCTAAAACACACATAACTGTCAGTATAGTTTAGCAATAACAAAAATAAATGTATCAATAGATATTTTCTTTGTTAGCCTCCAATATTCTGGAAAGTCATTCGGGAGTCTAATATCAGTCGAAATCAATATTTTCAAAAACAAAATTGATTGTTAAAATTGATAGTAAGAATTGCGAAAGTATTTCGAGATTCCTATCAAATGACATAACTTTTTACATGTTTTTGAGTCGTGACTTTGATGACTTGAGTACATCACTATTGACTCTATTTATGTTTGGCTGGAAACCAATTCTTTTATAGTTTTCAATATTGGCTTATAATTCGGAAACTCTTCCAACAAATCCCATAATAATTAAAATACAAATTTTTCACAAATCTGTTTAAAAGACGAATTAAAAATGCAAAAATACAATAAATTTAACAAAAATTGAGAAATACATGTTTTATCTAAACGGAAGGAACTTTGAACTAGTACACAATATTTTGCTGACTTTTGAATTATAATTTAAACAACAATTTCAAAAATTAATATAAAACAGAATACTTTGAAAATTAGGTGTTCCCTTTGATGTACAGTTATTTGTATGTTTATGAACCCATTCATTAATGTGAAGTACGACTACGAGATATAGTATATCATCAAAAAAAATTGAAATATACTTTAACTTTACTTAATGTCTAAAAGTCATATCATATTTGTATCGATAGCTAAATAGGTTAACCAATTGAATGCTTTAATTGATCTGAACTTTTTCCAAACATTTCCAAAGTGTTTCTGTACTGCAGTACACATTACATCAAATAATTTCATACCAGTTTAAGCCGACAAGTCCTTCAAATAGGACTTCAGATCTGAGTGTTTGCTATTTGTCAGACACTCCTAGAGGACACTCTACTCTATTCCTTATCTCTCGATTCCCGGTGTACTCTCTTTTTCTCCTCCAATATATATATACTGTGTGTATATATTTAGGGTTTAATTCTTGTATTGGAAACTTATAGTCATAATCGAAGATTCAATTCAGCCGTTTAGACGAGTACTTCAATCCACTGCTTCACTCTTTGAGATATATTTATATAACTTTTATATATTGTGTAAAAAGTCTTAACACTTAATCAAAAAGTCGATTAGAAAGAAGAAATTTATATCTGCGATAAAAATATGAAACTAATTATTCTTATAATTTGTTTATTTTTATCATTCTCTACGTTAAATACTCAAGAAATTGCGCCTAATGTGCCACAAATGCCACAAATTAATACCGGTAACTATTATTTGTGTTCATATTACACGCATATTCTGTAACAGAATATTCACTATTTTTCATATGACATGAACGTATAGATTGTGGACAGAATTCGTCATTCAAGAGGTGTCTGACCAGATGTCCGGTGACGTGCAGTAACTACTCGAACCCTCCGAAGGGTTGTGTCAAGAATTGTGCGATCGGTTGTGAATGTCACGAGGGGTTCATCAAAGTAGATAAGGGCCCCTACAGTCAGTGTGTCCGTCCATTCGAGTGCGCCCTGTATCGCAAAAAGCCGACCACTTTTGCCAAAAAGTTATTTGACAAAAGCATTTGATTATAATTGTCATCAACTATCTCGCCGTTCACTCCTAACATAACATCATTGACTGCTTTTTACTTAATTTAATGTTTTTATTTGTTAATCAAACTTAAGTTAAAACTCATTCCTTGATAATTGTTTTTATTATACGGATATATTGTAATTGATTATATATTTTGTTCTAATTATTCAAATCACTTTTTTGCACTCATAAAAAATTAATTTCATTTTCTATTCGTTAATCTTTATAAGGTTTGAAACATTTTGGTTATTAAATAACTTTCTTGTTGTTTGTTTTTCCATGTAATTTCACTAAATTATTGCCACCATTTGTGCTAATCGTTCAATGAATCACTAATAGAAAGATTAATATAAGAAAATAATCGACAATTTAATTGTTTTCCAAACTAATGGCAAACTTGTTTATACATTGATACATTAAACAGACATGAACTTGAAATTAATCGCTAATTAGATGAGGCATTTGATACATGAAAAGGAAAATCATATGTAATATTCAATCCCTTACTATTAAAAAGTGGTTTTTAAGAGAAACTAAAAATCTCAGTCAATATCTTATTTTCTTAATTATTATTAATAGATAAGAAAAGTTTTGGAAGAAAAGAAAACTCCATTCAATAAATGAAAACTCAAAGTCAGATAACCTTCAAGTCTTGTTACTAACCATTTTTTCTCCCATTTAATGAGAGTATTGGGTAAAAAGTTGTTCACTAAACGTATAATTATAATGAATATTTAAATCTACGGCTGACAAACGGAAGTTTAAAATGTTCAAATTATGTAAAATTATGTCTTTCGTGTGTTAGTTATAGTGTTTACAATATCTGAGTTAAGAATAATATTTTCATTTCATTTATTCAACTGTTTTTTATCTAAAGTTTTTAAGAAAAACATTCAAATATATCAAATGATTAATGTGTTAATTAAGAGTTTGTTATTAGTTATGAAAACATAACTCAAATTATGCGATTTTGTAATTTTGGAAACGCATGTAAAATATATAAATATTTTTATAAGAAATGATTGATTCGTTTGTTTACTCAATAAATGCAGAAAATTAATTATGAAATCAATTGAATTTGTATAAAAGGATAGAAAATGTGAAAAATATCGGAAAATCCGTAACTCATGTCATGTGAAATATTAAAAGAAATCGTCATTTAATTTATCAATAAATGCAGAAAATTAATTATGAAATCAATTGAATTTGTATAAAAGGATAGAAAATGTGAAAAATATCGGAAAATCCGTAACTCATGTCATGTGAAATATTAAAAGAAATCGTCATTTAATTTATAACAAATAGTTTTCAAATGACTTCTTAACTCGTGTTGTGAATATGAATTCAATAATAATTATGTTATCATATAATTATTATAGTACTCTTAAACTATTGGGAAATTTAATTAATGCATTGCATAATACATAGTATAGTATAGTATAAAATAGTTCAATACTATTTATTTATACACCAAGAATATTCTGCAAAAACACAAGTTTTCTTAACAGAGTGCTTAAAATCAGTGACAGTAGTATTATAGTACATACACTTGTGTGCAATTAATTATATTTCAAATATACCATGGTCATATAGCTCTATTATAAAAGTTACAAATTTAATAGTCATTCTTAAAATCTATTTGATAACAAAGTCGTATGACTTTGCTTAAGGTTTTCATATCAAATCAAACTTTTTATAAATATTTAAAAATATTAATTTCATATCAGATTTTTAACTGAATTCCCAATCACTTTAATTTATTATTATAACTAAATTGAATTTTGAGAGAAAGAGAGAGAGAGAGAGAGAGAGAGCCGAGTAAGGAATAAAATAGAAAATAATGTTCAGAATGTAGTTCATTGACTCATAATTGATATGAACGGTTAGATAAACGTATGGGAGATATATTATAAGTGAAATAAAATGTATAAATTATCTCATATTAAGTCTGAAACAATATGTACACTATATTTAGTACTATAGTGTACTTGAACGCAAGAATAATGCATAGACTGGTGTTGATGAGGCCAATAAGTGTAACGTTATATTGTATGCAATTCTGTGCTGAGTCTGACTGACTGCACGTTGTCTATGTTGGGGACAGTGGTGCAGCGCGTGTGCAGTACTGCTCCAGAGAGAGAGTGAATGAATGAAAACAAACGCTTTGAGAGACAGAGAGTTGTGTTGAAAATCGCGACACAAATCAATGGGTTTTACTCGTGAAAGCGATTGTGGTTTCCAGTGATTGACAGCACATGTGATGCCAATGTGATTGTCGTGACCATCACCACGAGGGACCCGATTGTGCCAAACAGCGATCACCACAACAACCACCGCGACGACGACCACTGCACCGGACGCTCACATGTCTGCATACCTGTGCGAACCGGACGGACAGCCGCTGGCCTTCCATCGGGTCCACAGTTTCGAGATATTGTACCAGAAGAAGAAGAAGAGGGCCAAGTTTGTCGACAAGTATGTCATGGGGGATGTGGTGGGCGAGGGCTCCTACTCCAAGGTCAAGGAGTGTCTCGACTCACACACACTCGAGAGGAAGGCCGCGAAGATCATGAAGAAGAAGAGGTTACGGAAGATACCGAATGGCGAGCAGAATGTCCAACGGTTTGTAGTGTCCTTACAGTCCACCACACCATCAGTTGATTCATTGGGTGCGGGCTATGGCTCCGATAGGCTTAGCGTAGGTATCAGGATCAGTGTATGACCACAGATTGGATCCATTGAGACAGTTATGTGTGGAAGTAATGCCATGAATATAATGATTGTAACAAATGATGAGTTGATTGAGTGGTTAGTAAGATGTGGTGTGTATTGAGATGACAATTGGGACCAAATCTATTGTGGCATTGATTGCATAGGGTATCAGCTGTTGAGGGAATGCCTAATAATTGGAAAGGGATCTCGTATTTGATAAATGATGCGATTTGTGAATAGTTTTGATAACACTTTTGACACATTTATATGAATGAATAGTTTTGTCGAAATATTT